GTTATAGTCAAATAGTAGAGAGTAAACAACTGAAAGGTTACATTTGCTTAGCTGGTCAAGACACATCTCTTGCATGTCTGCTACTGAATTAGTTTAGCTTTGGCTGTCATGGATCCAGCTGTGTTAAGAAAGGAAAGGTGAAGCCAGCAGCATTTCAGAGACAAGATGCTAAGCTTCCCACATACACATTTTACACCTTCTGATTCAGGTAGCTGTAGTGAAGCAATGATGTGCATTAAGCAAGGAAATGAGTGTCTTGCAGAAGGATGAGAGCTTCACTTTGGCCAGTAAGCTGGTCTTCTTTCTTCAGGAAAGCATCATGACTATAGCAGCCAGAAGGAAAAAAGGGTCTAGCTCTGCCTTGCTGCTGCTGTGTCTGTTTTCATCATGTGGGAGATGCTAGAAATCCCTAAGGGGACAGGCTGCAGAGGCCCCACAGCAAAGCCACCCGTTGCACCCACTAATAACCTTCTTCCCTCTGTCCCTTTCCCACAGGGATTTCTAGCATCTTCCCTAGTCCATTACTGCCTGGAGTATATCTTCTAATTCTACTTCCCTACAGGAGAAAGTAATTCTTCTAATAACAGAAAGAGCTAACATTTTTGAAATTGAGCTGTTGTGCTTAAAAAGAAAAAGTCTGTGGAATAAATTATTATTATAACAATATAATATATATCATTACTGTGTGAAAACTTTTACATACACAAGCAAAAGGGAAGAGATTCATATTGGGGGAAAAAACCAGGTGTGAAGGTATTTTGCTATCTCTTTTAGAACAGGTGTTGTAGTCTGCTCTTAGCTGTAGGCATCATATTTCACCCTGTTCAGGGTGCATTTCTCTGCAGGATCACTGTTCGGCCATTAAAGAGAGAGAAAAACCCTCCTGCAGAGGATGATTCAGATCACTGAAGCCAAGCTCCTGCTCTGAATTATCCTTGAATAATTTGAGTTTCTGTTTATACTCTGTTTGGAGTTGGAGATGATTATCCTTCTAATGCAGAAACCTGAGTTACATGCAAGAAGGCAGCTGGTGTGACTGCCCTTCAAGATTTGTTTGTATTACAGTTCTATTATGATGCTTTCCATATTCTAGGCTGTTTTAAGAAATTAGAAAGCACTGGTTCCCTGTGACAGGAGTCATTTAGCCACCAGACATGCATTAAAAGTTCTTTCTTATCATGCCTTCAAAAGCATGGCTTTAGCAATTAGAATTCTGAACTCAGCAGTACTTGAATTCCAAGTCTTTTCTTCTTTCATTTCATAATGAAAAATTTATTTTCAAGAAACAGATTAATAAATACTTGCATCTTTAAGCAAATATTTACTATTTCCAAGTAAAACATGAAGCTGAGGGAAATTATTACTCAAGTTCTTAGTGACTTAGTGTAGCTTCAACATAACAGGAACCCAAAGAGTTCATTCCATTTTATGTATTAAGCCACATGCAAGGCTTTTTCTGTTCTGTCACTATCGAATCACAGTGAATGATACTGGTGTAAAGGAAAAAGGTTCAAATTAAAAGATTTATAGTAACACAATAATAGCTTTACACTTCGAACATGAAACATTTGCATAAATATTAGACATAGGCTATTAAACATAGACTTTATTTTGATTGTTAAACCAGTTCAATAAAAACTCTTACTCTGTCCCTGAGAGTTGGCTCCCTTATGGCCAGTGACCCAAATGACAGGACAAGCCAGCAGGTGTTCAGAAATGCTTATTGAAATATAAACTTGAGAGACTTGCAGTAGAGCTCACTTAAGAGACAAGACCATTTTCATTACTTTGTCAGCAACTTACTTTGTTTCCCACTGCAGTCATGGTAGCCGCTTTGCTAGATGTTTTTTCCTCTATTAGGACTGAATCTTGGCTTGTGTAATGAAACATTTTAGTGGAATATTTCAGTAGTTGAAAGACTTTGTTCTGACTGTGTTTATGTGCCTTTTGTTTTCTGTGAATGTTCAATTGTTGAGACTTACTGGCATAATCATTCACTGAAAATGAATTTCAAAGATGCATGTGCATATCACTATGGAAACTGGAAGCTGAACTTAAACAGAAAGACCTGCTGCTGGGATGATTGTGTGCTTTGTCCAATGTGGGCAGGGTAGCAGTGCTATGTGAATTATCTGAATAGTCACAGAGCAGTGCAGTGGTTGTGACTGGCAGAAACTTCTTTGCCATTGATTCAGTGAGGGTAAGAATACCTCATGTCTGTGAAATGATCTTAAATTACAGCAGCTGAAAGCAGCATAATTTGCTTGTGCACATTTTATTATTAGAAAAGAAAGCTAAATTGTATACTTTTTTTTTCTTTTTTTTTTTCCTCAAACTCTGTCTTCAATCCTCTGTCTTCACTTATTGATATGTTAATCCTTTGCCTGTGACCTCACAAGTCAATGACTGGTGAGGACACACTTGGCTCTACAGCTTCATTTCAAGATTATGTTTGAGAGTTGAGAAAACATTCATTTACTGCTTGTGGAAGATAATATTTTCTTTTGAATTTACCTCTAGTATGGTGAATGAGAAGCTAGTTTTTGTCACTTTGCAAATTATTGGTTATTATAATGCACCATGGAAAATAATGCTGCAGTGAACCAGAACTTTCATCTTTTTATGGCTCTTTAGATGACAGTTTCATGTTCTGTGGCAGTCACCTTAAGGCTAGACACTTCAGAAATATCTGTAATAGATTAACAGGCTGTAGAATAATAAGAATATTTGCATTCCCCAAATTACCAGGTCTAGCAATTTTTTTTCTATCATCTAATTTCTACAAACCTTTGTAGTTTTTGACTATTTTGTCAGGATAACAATATAGTAACTTAATCAGCATCATCTGCAGTGAAAACTTTCTTCTGAGTTGAAGTTCTTTATTTTGTCATTCACTTTTGTGAAGTGATACAAAAAGCTCTCCTTTTTTTTTTTTTTCCTTCCCCCCTCCCATTCTTTGGGAAGGTAATAGCCTATACTGTAGAGCCCTTAGCCATCCCAAAGAAGTGGGTGGAGGAAGAACTGAAATGGGAAATGTTCCTGCCTTTCCTGAAATAGCACCTTTGAGCCTGACTATATGTTTCATGTGTTCTCACAGGCTTCAGTATTCACCTGAGTGCCACAGAAAGGGGCTGTCACCAAAGGATTTGGTGTCAGGCACACTGTAGGTACAAAAAGAGAGTCATTACTCCTTCCTCATAAAAAAAAATAAATTAATAATTTAGCATGCAGTTAATTGTTGCATGACTTCATGCCCTTCAGGTCCTTTTCTGAGCTGGTTTTAAAGATAAAATAAATATAAATTTCAGGCTGCATGAAAGCAAAATTGTGCCAATTTCTGGGAATAAAATTAAGATTCTTTTTCTGTCCTTTAGGGTTTGATTTATTCATAACTCTTTTGAGAAATTCATGCAGTACAATTTTGCTGTTACTGTCTGTTAAAGATTTTCCCTCCTTTCCTTTTATTGGCCCCATTTCTCCCACACACAAACCCACAAAGCCACAGATGCTCCATTACAATGATGTCAGTCTTGCTACATGCTCCAGCTGTTTGGTAGGTACATTTAAAAAGTTCAGCCTTTTACATTATGCCATAAATGTGTATTTCATGTATAAACATAAAGCTAACATATTGCAGATCACTTTAAGTGTAATTTTAAGGGAGGTTCAGTAAGTTTAAAAAATACTGAAAAGTGTTTAATCTTTCCTTTGGCGACAGTTTTGTATTACGTTCTCCAAAATTTTTTCTGAAGCAAGGTTTGAACATTCTCCGCCCCCTCTGCTTGTTCATATTCTGTGATCTTTGGAAAAAGCAGGGAGTTATTTTAGTAAGACAATATGTATTTTAAATAAAGATGTCTGAGGAGAAATAGGTTTCTCTCCACATCTTCTTGGTGCTCAAGCCCTTGGTGTTCTGTGCACCTACCAGCCTACCACACTGAAAACACCTAATTCCTGGAGTTGCTGGATTCCAAGGATACTTGATATGGCAGATATTCTGTTGATATGACATAAAAATGCTGACAGATTGTTTTAAAAAATTTTCAAGAATTTGGTCTGAGCCTTAAAGCCTTTCTTTGTATAGTGTCCCGAATTTAAAATAAAAGGCTAAAGAGTGCCTATTTGGCTCTGCCTTCTCCCCCTTTTCTCTTTGGTATGTGCTTAAGAGTTCAGCTCATTCTAACTATGTGGATTATTGAATAGTACCCACAGGATTCTTCCCTGATCTCCCCTGGGTGCTTTCCTTCTCACAAGCAATGTCTTTATTTCTCTCTCTCCTTTTGAGTTGCCTACTTTGTCTTAATTTGAATGTGGTGCTGAGTTATCACCATATTTGTACCATATAGTAGTCATTATTCTAAAATAAATCTCCTCGCTTAGGAAGATTTTGAGGCTTAATCTCTGTTTTGTTGGCTCAGTAATAAAATTACTCTCAAGAGGACTGATGAAAGCTGAGATCTTTCTCAGTAGTTCATGTTGCTTCAAGCAAGACCCAGAGTGAATAAAGGCTCTAATGTGATTGTAGAGCCTAAAGTTTGAGACTGTGAGTTGTTGCTATGTGGCTGCAAAAGAACCTTCATTGTTCTTGCAGATCAGCTTCATGTGTACTTAAAAATTCCAGATCATAAATACACAGCAAGGTATTAATGATAGAGCAGAGCTTCAGTATTGAAACCTGAAAAAGAAAAATCTGATAAAGTCTTTAGCAAATCACTTGTATGCCAGTCTCCTCACTAAAGTAGCAGCAGTATAAGCCTGTTCTGCTTCACCTGTGTACCTGCCAGCATCATGTACATCTCAAACCGGAAAACTGTATTCTGTGAACTGAGGGAAGCATTGCCCAAGGCCCCCTGCTTCTATGGCTTGTGGACATATCGTATGATACATAAAGTCAGTTGTATTTGTGACTATAATACAGGTACTGTTGACAAGTTCAAAAACCCCTCCTGCTCAGAAATACAGATAACATCACCATGATTTGGTTTCTTTTTAATGTGCAGGTCTTTTGTTATCCAGCAAATCCCAAGCAGCAATCTCTTCATGGTGGTAGTAGATAACGAATGCTTCTGTGATTCTATCCCACCAATTACCATGGCACCTATAGAAATAAGGTATATCCTTTTATTTGCAAACTAGTCAGAAAGAGATTCAAGATGCAAATATAGAAAAGTTTCTTATTATTTAAAACTTGCATTACATGTCTTAAGAATACATGATCCATTTTAGAGTGCTGGGGCTGTTTGAAATTAAAGCAGCTGAGAATTGATTCTTATTTTGAAGGAGAATTCACTTTTTTTTTTTTTTTTAACAGCCAATGCAAATTAAAAGAACACACGTATGGGCACACGTAGATAGCTGAACATCTTTCAGATTAGTATGTAATTTTCTTATGAGAATGGATCTGCTGATATTAGAACTTACAGAACTCCTTACAATATAGTTATCTTTTTTATTTTAGGGTTAGACTGGGGTATTTAAAATGTTTCAGAATCCTGCTTTCCAAAAATACTAATATGTAGCAAAGTAGATATAACACATGATTTTTAGTTGCCCCACTTTTTATTTTGTGCTGTTCTGTAGTTCAGGATTTGTTTTCTCACATTAGTTTGAATTTATCAAAAGAAGCCTGCAGTGTGCTTTTATTGCAGGCTTATTATGGAAAGACAGGCAGCAGGGCAAGTGCAAATGGTACTGTCTAAACTTTGGATCACAGGAGAAAGCACTAGAAGTACCTTTTTTTTTCTTGTGTTGACTATACATATCCCCTGGGGTTTCTGATGGAGAGGAAGGAAGAGGCTGAAAGATTTTCACTATATTCATTTCAAAACTCATATAAACTCAGAGTATTAAAATGCAATGCTCAGATCTCTCCTTAACTACTTTGTACATAATGAATCCCTTAAATGTGAGCGTTTAAAATCTCAGAAGATAAGAAGACGTCCAGAATCTTGTCATGGATTTCACCCTGAAGTAAGTTTCTACTTATTTTTCCTTGTTTACCTATATTTCCTTTCTTTTAGACTCTGGTAGTTTTTTATTTATTTATTTATTTTTAAAGGAAATACTCAGAAATCAAAAAAAGGAAAGAGTATTACATTTTAAATGCTGCATATCTTTTTAGTACTCCTGTAGACAATGTCTTGACTTGCTGCTTTTGTAGACTTTTTGTATCATATAAGAGGACATGTTAGGATGTGAGCACAGACTGGCAGCCAGGAATATCTGAGAATTTATGCTGGATGAAGGACTGACCACAGGATTCCTCATTAGAGATGATTTGGACCTTTTGCTGTTCATGTTTTTTTCTGTACCTACCTTCAGTACCTCAACTGTCATGCTATAGTCATTATGTTTACACATAGTGTTGCTTGGGAAGGATCACTACACCTATTCACTACCTCGTGTTCTACATAATACTCTTATGTGTGTAGTGCCAAGGAGATCTTGTAGAGACTGGGACATGATTACAGTGGCTTGTAGAGCATACGTTCACAGAAATCCATTTTACTCTAGAGTAACATACATTTGATGGTGTAATGCAATGTAGAATGAGACCTAAATTATGGCATGGAGAGGACTGCGTAATGCTTGTAGTTCATGCTCACTTTCAGGCTACAGTCTAAGCTTGCTTCAATGAAGTTGTGTACCTGTATTACTTCCAGAGGGTATTTAGTTCATGTGTTTTGTTGTTTGCAGCAATCCTCTTCTGCTTATGCAGTTTTGTAAATAAATTTGTATCATAATTGAGTGTAATAGCTTGTAATTATTTTCCTTTGGCTTTTTTTTTTCTTTAGGAAAATGCAAGAGAATGTGGTGGTGTCTCAGGCCTTAGTGCTAAACCTCCTCTTGTTGTTCTTCCTCTGCTATTGATGATTTTCTCAAGGTGACATAGACTGATGGGTTCAACTGGCATGCTAATACATGGATAAACTGTGATCTGGGAAATGGTGCAACACAGAGGACATGAAATATATTCAGAGCATCAGCATTTCATGATTTTAAAATGTCGATGATATAATTTCTTAAAGATACATTGAAAAAAAGATTTATCTTTTATCATGCAGATGTGAGTTTGGCATATGGCAGTCATGATTCATCAACAAAAGGACTTGGTAGATAGAGGTGACCATTGCTTTGTCCCATTAAAAAAAAATTTAAAACTGTACTTTTTCAATAAAGTATATTAAAATCACAGTTTCAGAGGGTATTTTAAGTATGATAATATATTTGTTCCATTGATTAATGATGTGAAGAGAATAAATTAAGTGGAATGTATTTTCTTATGCTTTTATCCTATTTCTGAAAAAAACTCAGAGGTAAAAATGTGGAGTTAGCTTTTAAAATAAGGCAGAATAATTTTTAATAACAAGTCAAGGAAACACATGTGCATATATGAAGCTGAGCAGGTAATGCTGTGCTGATTTATACTGAAGGTTTGGTTTCTGGAAATAGCTGTAAAACATCCCAGCCACATTTAGAAATTGAGACAAAGCCTGATTAAAGCCTTTTCCATAACTTGGACAGACTTTAGATCAAATTGGTTGATTTGGTTGCAGATGGCAAAATTAAATACTTTTAATCTGTTACAGTTTCTGGGAAGATATGTAAAATAACCTATATAAAAGAATTATAGTCTTTTGTTAGTGTTCTGCCCTATAGACATTTACTCAGCTAGGAAGAGCTTGTTACAAGGAAATACATAAGCAGAGAAAGTTTGACTTACAACACGTCTGCATCAGCAGCACTCATAAAGGTTTTCACTGAGAATTCATGGAGGCTCACTTGCAGTAGGCAAAGATCAAGACCATTATTTATTTATTTTTTTTTATTCTGGGCCTCATGTTCTTCTCTGTAAGGGAAACAAGAAGATAACGTAAGATTTATTTTTTTTTTAGTTTTTAAAACCCTTCACAAAGAGCAGTATTTATCCTAACCCCCTAGTATAATGAGTACATTCTTCTTGCAGTTGATTAGTAAAGTCCCTGTTGTGGATACGTTTGCTGAAGATCTTGATCTTTGAAGTATGCTAATCTCTCAGCTTATCCTTGTAGTTTTATATGAAATCGAATGCTATCAAGAGAATAACCTGACCTCCTAACAATATAAATACATTGGTTGTGAAATAAAATGCCACTGTTCTAAATCTGGTACTCGAAGATTGCACTTTCCTGATTGGGAGCAAGTATGCTTTTAGCATTAGATACACACTAAGCAGATCTACTATATATCCTAGGTGAGAGTAGGGAGGTAAGGCACTGAGAGAGGCTTTGTTTTAAGGAATACTATCCATCTTGTAAGAGGAAGAACTGGTAAAATAAAATTTCCACTTCAATGCTTTAACGGGTTCAAATGCACTGGCACTCCCTCTGGTTCTGAAACTCTACAGATCTTTGTCTGGACTCACTATTTTCTTTTCCTCATCTTTTTTGATGAGGAGTGTTTTCCAGCAGACTTCTCTGTCCTTCCTTGTTGGTCTCAAAATCACTCACTATGGGAATAATTTTCCAGCTGACATTCAGTCAATCTATTGTCTTAGTGACATGCTCTGTTCATTAAGCTAATTGGAAATTCAAGGCATACTCTACACTTGGACTGACACAGATATCCTGCAGTTCTTTGCATGTTTTTTTCTCTGAGCACCGTTCCCCCTTACCCTCCATCATTGTCTCCAAAATTCTTCTCAATACTTTATTTATAAAGTATGTTAGTTTCTGATTTTCCTTATAAGTTTCCAGAATGCACAACACTGCAGCCTCATAATGCTTTTGGATGTCTGATGCTTGTTTCTTCTCCATGCAACTTAAATGGGAAATGTTTATAAACCAACACAGTCCAGGTAATTTTTCCTTGTTAGTATAAAATGAAAAGAAAAAATCTTTCTCAATAGAGTCAATGAAAAGCTCTGCATACAGATGCTTATCCTGTCTGATGTGTAAATCATTACACAGAAAAGAAATACATTAAATTTCTTCTACTGAACCAAGATGAAAATGCCTAATAGTAATTCATTGATAATTTTGGAAAGAGGTGGACAGTTTTGTAATTAGGAGGGAGCCAGAGAGAGATTAAAATATGACTGTCTAAATTAATATTGTGAAAGAGATTAAAATATGGGTATGTAAATGAATATTGCTTAGAGAAATGTGATGGTTCATTTTCACATGCATTAAGACAAAATTACAAAACAGAACATACTGGTGTACACAAAAAGTTACCATGCAAAACAGAACAATCCAAATAAGCTGCGAAGCATAAAAACATTTTTTGAGTTGTCATTTCTTTGCTAATGAAGATGTCTTCTTAAATTTGTGTTTATTCATTTACAACTTTCTGATGCAGTGTGACTTCAGCTTTATAAACCCAGAAGTTTAGGAGTAATGGAGATTTCGCCTTGAGTTTGCATTTATGGATCTTTGCCTGTGCAGGTCCTCATATTCAAGTGAGTATGTTCATCTCATTTCTTCTGAATTTCAAACATCAATCCTCAGTGCATGAAACAGATCAATGGTAGGTAAGTGATAAAACCAAGAGATCCCTATTTGAGTTAGCTGGCTGCACCTACACTAGTAAAGTGAGTGTGTCTGGAAATGTTTCTTGGTGCTGAATCCAACTGGCTCAGAGTGGTATGTGTACATGCTAGTAAGATTCTTGTCTCCAAATGGAGTAGCTGCAATACAACAGCCTATGTCCAAACAGGAATGATGATTATGAGTTTTAGAGGACAGAGCTAGCTGACACAGGCTGAAGCATGCCAAGGACTATTTGAAACCATTTTGCAGAAAAGCTGATCTCATTCTAATGCATAGGAATGTTCCTGACCGTTGCTAAGTTTACCAGTCTGTATGTCATCATTAGCTCTGAAACACTGAGAAGGTGTGAAGATACCATGAAATGGGTCTGTGCTGTCATAATATAACCTGTGGCAGGTTATAGGTGTAATTATATTTCATAAAATCACTAATCATGGGTGCTACTCCTCTCAAATCCTAAAAATATCGCACAGGGTCTGATACAAAGCATAATGCAGCTAATAGAAAACCACAGATGTATATATGTATATATATATATACAGCTGCATAAATGTAAATTATATACATTTTTAATAAACAGGATATTCAGACATCATCTATATTTTTATCTCCCTAAATCTGAGGTCAAATTCAAGGAGAACCAGGACATGTATACAATCTGTTTATGCACAACACAATGCAAAGCTGAGAGTTTCAGCTTCTGCAGGGCTTAGATTTTTATTTCTTTTTTAGTCTCTCTGTTAATGGCATTGATTTTCAATTTATTAGCCCCAGCTGCCTCATCTTCCTTTAATCTTGATAAAGCAAAAGCTGTTTACAGGCTCAGGACTGGCCATAGACACACCATTTTCTAATGGCTTTGTGTGGGAAAACTGTCTGCCCATAACTGTCAGTGCTGCAAACACTCCTTTAAAATCCTCTAAGCCAGAGTGCCTCAGGCAGGTTTCTGCAGCTGTGCAATCTCCTCTCATTGCTTTTGTGACACTGAGACTGCCTGACCCACTGCATTTTGCTGCCAGGGCCAATTCTGCAATATATATGCTAGGCGAAACAGGTGGTTGCCTGGGGCAAGAAGATATTAAAAGCAGCAGTGATTGTTTCATTGCCTAAATGGCTTCAAGAGACTGTTTCAGTTTTCTTCTGATAGCAAAAACTCCAGAACAAGTCACTGGCCTGTTTAGCTCTTTGGGTTCAAAAGGCAAGATAGAAGTTTGGCCCTGAAGGTTTGAAGCTAAAAGACACCAGTTATTTCTACTTGTCTTCTGAGCCCTTTATGGCCTCCAAAGACTTTTACGTCTTGGGACCTTCTGCGTCTCAGAAATTGCAACTTTTAATGTCAGTTGGCATTCACAACTGGAGAGTTTTCTGCAGAACAGTGCATCAAAATTTTGCAGCTATGGAAAATACTACTTAATTTTCCTACTTCATTATTCTTTTCCCTGAGCTGTTCCATATACTTTTTTTTTCTTGTCCAAGAATGTATGCTTCTTTCTTGTCTAAGTTCTTTTCCATGGTTCTGAAGGTTTTAAGTATGTATTTACCTGTATTTATATTTTACAACAATGTACTCTCTCTGACAGGTCCAACTCCCATGTATCTACTGAGAGAGATATGGTTCCCATAGCATCTTCAGAAGATAGCACTGGAGTTTATCACAATGCAGTCTGAAGGCAATTTTATTTGTTCTCCTCTTTACTCTTTGGCCATGAGGCTCAAATCATATTTCTTCCATTATAATAATATTCTTGCAATAGCTCTGTGGGAGGATTTACCTCATCTTCAAGAGTCAGTCCTATGTTTCTTCCCAAGAATAGTTTGGAGATGGACGCTATAACTTAGATACACCAAGTCCCAGTGTATTCCTGTAATGTTTTGAGTGGGAGGATATGTTTCCAACTCTTTCTTTCTTTTCCCATAGTAACTGTGGTCACCTAAGAAAATATTATTTTATTGCTTGCAATTCCAGTACAAATTATTTTAAAAGTCCACAGTACTGCCTAGCAGATGCTTTGAAGGATTTCAAAACATATTGTTAATTTATGAAGAACAAACCTACTGACTATCATTGAAATAGAGCTGGAACAAGAAGCACTTTAGCGTTATGGTTGAGTTAAATACAGGTTAAACATGGTAAAACAAAACTTTATTGCCCTTCAGAAACTAGTGATACATTTTAAAACAAAAAAGTTACCTTACATAACATTTGCTAATGCCAGATGACTGCTGAATGATCAGTTTTAAGAAGGTGAAACTTTGCTTGCAGAATTAGATCTAATTAAAACAGAAATGAGTGTAAACAAGGCATGCCTTTTAGTTGTGAAAGCATTGTATTCCCAGGCACTGACATGTTCAATATCTAATTACTGAGGCTTCCTTTAGTTTTGTAACTTTAAAAAAGGCATCCTTAACTAAACAGAAAAAAACCTCAAAACCAATAAACTAATTGAAGAGTGGTAACTAAATATTTTTATAATTTTTTATTAAGTCTGAAGGTGACCTTTATTTAGGAGTAGCCAGAAGAGCTGTGAATTGATTCAGCCATCCAAGGGTGAGGCTGAAACCTTAAGAAGACAATTTAAATTTCAACAGTTTTAACAGATTTGATTGCTCATCATTGTGGCAGAAATAACCAGGTAATTGTGTTTAAGTCAAGCTACCATCTAA